CTTTTCGTCATTCTAATGGAAAAAAAAATGAAATACATAGGTCGAAAAAAAGCTAATGTTTTCCATATGCAGAAGAGAAGGAATATTTTTTTTTCTTAAATCTTTGTTGGGTTTTATTTCCCGAGGCCCAGAAATCGGCATGATCTAAAAACAATAAAAAAGGCTCTTCTCTTCGAGACCATACATAGTTTTTAGGAAAGTCCTTATGCGGCGTTTGTAGGAACATACAGAAAACTCACGATTGAGCTTTCAAATACCGTATGAACAATTTTCTCACAAACTATAATGTCTCACATATTCTGCATTACGACAATCTCAAAAGAAAAAGGGGGAAAAATATACTCAAAAACTTCTATTTACAACAATATTAATGAAGGCTCACGTATGTCTTTTTTGAAATCGAAAAACTATGAAAAGAATATATCGCTCATCACGCGATTCAATCCATGCATAAAATGTTTTTTCCTCTCTCGAAACTGTTGATTTTTTTTCTTGGGGTTTGACCATATTTTAGCTTCTTTTTTTTTTACGCGCTTTTTATTTCTTTTAAAGAAAATCATTGACAAATTTTGAGTCAAATTCGGATGAACAGAAGAAAAAAAACTTCAGACTATTTTTTTCTGATACTTTCCTGGACCAAAGGCGCTTATTACGTGCATTGGGCGTTTTTCAAGAAAAATCCCATAATGGAAGGTCTACTGATTATCTATATTCAAAAAGCTGCTTCATTTTCACAAAAACTCAATTTGCTTTCGAATTTGAGCACTTGACGTTGCCCTTTTTCTGCAAAAAAAGAACAATATTGAAGCTTGGATGATAACCGCAAAATTTGAACAAAACGAGAATATTAAAAGAGAGTACACAATAGGGAACTGAAAAAAAAAAACGGTTGGTGTATGCGAATCGTTGAAAAAAAGGCACATGAATCAGCCGTTCCCATCGAACTTCATCAAATATTTAGTAATTCGATTTTTCAAATGACTCTTCAAAAATCATCTTTTTTTGGAATTCGGAAAAAAATGAAAAAAATTGTTTTGGACTATGGACCAGTTTCTTTGATTCCTATTTTCTTAAAATTTTGCGAATATTTTTCAAAAGAAGACTCGAGCTTTGTTTTCTCTTCCGTCACCACTTGCGTCAAAAAAAATCTTAAGTAATTATATACCTAGCCCTTGTCTTTTGAAAACCTGTTTACGGGGCGAAAACCGGAATTCATGAAAATATCTAGTGGAAGGAAAAATACAGACTTCTATGAATAGAACTGATGACCCTCGTATTGAAAGATTGAAGTTTCGAATCGGAAAAAAATGAACAGACTTTTTCATAGTTGCTTTTAAACTTGAATCCAAATGTTTTTTGTCTATTAAAATCACGCTTCTGATAAGCATGTCGAACTTTAGAAAAAAAAAAATCAAACCGAAGAAAACGCATACCTGAACGCCATTCTGGAACGTAGATTGAGACTTGTAAGGAAGATACCGCATTGGTTATCTCATATATGAGAAAAAAAGCTTTCTCAATTTTGTGTTCGGCGGAATTTTTTTTCTCTCTACTGTACTATGAAAGTACGTTGCAGACAGAGTGCATGCACGAAGATTATCTTCACGCGCAATGTTTTCCTTGTTCGTTTTTAAAATTTCATTATTATTTTTTTTTAATTCGTGTTTTGTCATAATAATTATAGTTGGGCATCAAGGTTAGTTCACATTATTGATCTGTTCATTTTTTTGTAAGAAAAAATTTTTAACAGAAATCAGTTGGAGAACTATCTATTTAGAAAAAAGTTTCATCGTATGAAACAGTTATGATTTTTACGATAAAAAAAAAATAAAACAAAAAATAATATCTGAAAGAATGCTTCCAAAAAAAAAGAATAGACGGCAAGAAGTGCTGCGAACGTTTTTTTGACAGGGTCGTGAAGTTGACACGTATTTGTTATTATTTTTTTCTTTTGGAAAATATCAAAAGATTTCTTCAGTTGGTTTACTTCAGATAGAGTATTTCCAGTCGTGTCTCGCACAAGATTCAAGCCCTGATTTAAAAATTAAATATTTATTTTCTAGAGGACGAAATGCTAATTGGGAGGCTGCAGAACGGCTTCAGGCCATACTATTAGGAACGTTTCTGAGGAAAAATAAGGTATAAAGACAATTGAGCGATGGGTTCAGTGAAGTATAAAAGATTCATGGGAAAATGAAAGTCAAGATGGATGAAGAGAAGAAGCCGGGGAATTATTAGGAGCCACATGCGAGTTTCTACAATGATTTGCATGTGTCCGTCAGTTCGGAACTCTTTTTTTTCTCCGTCGACATCTGCAATGAGCAACGGCTTTATGGGCGGCCGCCGTCGTACTTATACTTACCAGCCGCATTTCTCATTCAACTTTTCTTTCGTTTTCCCAGGGGGGATCCTGCCGATCAAACTTGATCTCTCTATTCAGGCCTTCTCCAGGGGACTTATCTCTTTTTGTTTGTTTTCGGAAAGATTTATGGCGTAGGTGGGTTCGGAACGAAAATAGGCTTTATCGCAACATTCGAGAGATGGAAAGCCTTCCAAGAGATTGTCATGTGATAAAAATATCCGACATTTTCCATCTGGTTGTCGGGTTGACGTTCGGTTAGACTCGACCGAGATAAAACTCTAGATCGAAAATCAAAAGAAGTTAAAAGTATTATTTTAGAGTGCGAAAGGACGAGACCTTTGAAGTGACTGTTTGTCGCCGCCGACCACAAAACGGCTTGCGCGTGTCGGTATGAGATTATTCTGCATGTTTTTTTTCTCCTTTAAAGCCTTTTGATTGCGACTAATTTAAAACAAAAGAGAAAAAAAGGGAGAAAATGTAAGAAAAAAAGCTTTTGAACGTAAATGGAGCGCTGCTATGGAATCGTCCAAAAAATCAAATAGAAAGTGATTCGCGGGAAGGAAAATAGGTGTGGTGTTCCGGGATTTACGAGCTCTTCAGAAAATGTGACGGAGCCGAAATGAGAGCCGGCCTCAATTTATGGGTTCAATTCCGCCGCCATGTTCTTCTTCTTTTCTTCATTTGCCCTTTTTAAAAGAAAAAAAGTAATTCTCATTTTTATTATAAGCCGAGCAGTAAAAGGGAATTGAAGCTTGTAAATATTTTCAAGCTTTGGCCATCTTTACTCAATTTCAGCCCTGATATGCATTGGTTAATTGAATTTGACGTTTTAAAAAGTTATTTTTTCAACGGAAAAAAGTGATTGAGGATGTGTTAGAATATTTCATTGGTTTATAAAACGATTTTTTTTTCGAAATCGAAGATCAACGTCTACTTCGTGATTTTCAAAGATATCTCCTGAATAGGTTCATCAGTGATATTTTCTTCGAAAAGCCTTTTAACAAAGGTGAATCAGTCTGGAAGTTCGGTTTACGTCGTTGTTCATTCTCCGAACCGTGAATTAAGCTCAACATCTTCAGATTAGTCTAAGAATTTTATCAGTAGGGATCTCAAAAATTGTGGCACTCACTGGTCAGATTGAAAAGTTGACCACGCCAACAGAACTGGTAGAAATAAAGATGCAGAAATTAATATATTCTGCTAGAACCATGTAACTAGGCTATACTTTTTTGGTCTCAAGAGCGAAGAAAATGACAAAATTAACAGATGGATAGCATTTTTGATTGCAGATGACGTGACAAGTTGCACCAGAAAAGATCAGAATAAGATGTTAGTTGAGGTCCTCCAAATCCTCAAGAGACCAGTCTCATCGTGAAGTGTCTGAAAGAAGGTAACCTGAAAATTGATTGATCTCCAGAAAAAAAATCTCTCGCTTTATTTTCCAGCTCATATTTGATCATACACCTCAATTGATATCTGAAGTTATCTGCAGGGTCGATTCTAAATTATTTTGATATTCTCTCATGCTGATGAGGGTGGCCCAGCTGCAAGACACTATTTCAGCACAGTGGGGACTCAGGTTTCCGAAATAAATATAGCATGCTCCGTATTTCTTCTTGTGCCCGTTTTTTCCCAGTTTTAGCACAGATGAGACTCAATCACATAAAAACACGGATTTAATATGGGTACACTCGTTGAGACACCTGGCCAGCATGGGAGTTGTTCATTTCGAGTTTTGCAGAGCTGTGCGTTGGGCCGAGGTTGATGGCCGAATCGACCCACAATCGCGAACTTTTTTCATCTCATTTCATAATTTTAATCACATAATTTTCCCAAATAACACATTTTCGATCACTCCCTCAACTACACGCTCTGTGAAAATTTCGAGACAAAAATGTTCAAAAAGTGGAAAAAATTCGACCGCGTTGCAACACTATGGCCAGCCTGGATGGCCCAGAGCACATCTCTCTAATTTTGACCTGCACTCATCAAAAGTAAAAGTTTGATGGTGACTGAACCCAAGAACTTACTTCCTTTCGCAGAGCTTTTCCTTGCGAGTCGAATGAAATGAAGCAGACGGTCAATTTGTCGTTTCGGCTTCGTGTTAATCTTGCTCATATTTAACGAGTTGGGCGTCGAGGCGTCTGGCCCCACCTGGACCTCCGCCGCCGACATCTCCGATTTATCGCCCATTCTTCTCAGCGACAAATCCGACACGCTTCGCCTATTTTTTCTTCCTGCGCCGCCCGCTTTTCGTTAATTAATTGGCCTTGCCAAGGCGATATTTTGGTCGTTTCAGCTCAGAAAGTTAAATTATTACAATTTCTGTGAGTTACTGAAAACTTCTCCAAAGGAGTACTTCTTTTGTCTTTTCTGAGTAGCATTTTTATTCGAAACGATTGAAAAGACGGCGGATACAGGTGATAGAACAATGGAAATGATGATTTTCAGAAAAATAATTATTGTAAAAATCACAAACTTCACAATATTTAACAATTATCGATCCAAATTCATTCATTAAAATTATAAATAACATTTTTTCTTTACATCTCAAAGGAATACTCGTAGCACACGACGCAAAGCAATTGGTGCATAAAGTGGGCGGAAACGCGCACTTGAAAGATTTCAGATTGACGAGTCATACGGTAGGCAGAAAGTCCGCATTTGGCATGGCGAGCATTTCGGCCGAATGGAAAATGCTCTTGTGCTTTTTGATGTGCTCGATGGCGTCGTCTAGCGTTTTGCACGGTCTTTTCAGGTTGGGCGAAGACGGCGGCGGCATCAGTTCTTCTCGACGGAGTAACTGCAATTTCCACATCTATATTTTCAGCAAGTTCCTCTGAACTATTTGAAGGTAGAAATCATAAAGATCTCGAGTCGAAGAAAGGTCCTTAGTGTTGTTTTAGGTCATAGCAATTTTTTGGGTCTTCAACCATCCCGAAATGTTTTTGAACAGATTATATTTAGTTCGCCACAACTCAAAACAGACCAGCTCGTCTGGGTTCTCATATCAACGGGCTCTTTTTTCATTATCGCCTATGAGGAAAAAGTAAAGCTCGAAAATTCAAACACAGTAGAAAAAACTTAATTAATTTTTACCTTAAGTTCCCGTCGAGTAATTGTGGCTGGAAGCTGAACGGAAAACGGTATCGGCTGTGAGAGCACGCTGGAATTTTGAGAATGTCAAGATTTTTGTGATAACGAGAAAATTCCAGTTTCTAAAATGGTCTTTTCCTTTCCTCTTGCATAAAATAAGTCCAGCGCATTCCATAGGACAAATTGGCGTTGAAGTCTCGCACCTGCGAAGACCCCAAAAACCTTTCGGAACAAGACTACTTTTTTTAAAAGAAGGTTAATTTTTGAGTTAATCTCACCTCTGTCGATATTCTTGAAACGGAGAAGACGGCTCCGTAGGAACCGTTTGCAACTTCGTCGAACTCGGAGACGTCGGACATCCCGCTGAAAAAACCAAACAAAAGCTTCTTTCAAGACCCCGATCCTGGAAACTGTAGGAAAAGGACAAAAGGCTCCTTACAACGGGAGCAGAAAAGTGTGAGAAATGAACAGCGATAAAAAATAGCAAGAACTCGAGGACTCGACAGGCGCCACTATCAATTTGTCGGCAGTAAAAGAGCCGCGATTTATGTTCCGGTGTCATTTTTTTCGCCTGCAACAGCAGTTTTTCTCGATGTTTCAGAGAAGATTGCTATCCCACAAGTTTTCAGCAGTAGTTGTCCGGAAACAGCTTTCAAAATGATTTCATAAAAGTTTTCAAGACTGAGTTGAACCTTTTTTTTTTACAAATTTCTGCTTGATGTAAGAAAAAAGAAAGCTTCAAAAAGGGAGAGAAGATAAATAAATTATCAAGAAACGACGAATCCGAATCGCGCAATTTATATAGTTTTGGTATGACCAATCGCAAATCAATCTCCAGCTTTTTTAGGTCTTGAGTATCATTTCTTTCAACATTATTCTCTTTTTTATTCATTAGGTCCAAAACTTACCGGATAACTTGAAATTACAAAAAATAAAAAAGCTCCGTCAATTTTATATTGTTACCTTTATCCACAGAAAAGCCGAAATTTTTGCGCACAAAGAGTTTTTGAAATTAAGAACCTAATCGAAGTTAGAACAATTAACGAGATTTGCTGAACAACCATATTTCCAGCAGGCACCCAAGCCGAAAAGAAAAATTGAGTATGAAATCTGAAAGCGGATCTCCGGCACGCGTCTCAAGAGCCACCGTAGTGACAAATTGGCGTGACGAAGGTCGGAGAACTGTGGGAAAGTTGTGACCGAAAAAGGGAAAGATTTGCGGCCTTCAGAATACCGTAACCGTCTAGGTGTTTGTCGATAGGGCGCAGGTGTCTGATGGGGCCGACGCGTGACTTTTTTCCAGCAACAGATTGCATCATTGGATATTATTAGAATGTTTTGAGTTCTTAGAAGGAATTCAGTCTAGGAAACATAGACAGAGGTCTGAGAGAATTGCGGAGAAGTACAATTGTGAAATAAAACAAAAAGCATTTGAGCTTATGATGAAGCCAAATGGAGAAACTTTGAGAAAAACTCTGAAAAAACAGTACTAGACAGTTTACTCTAAACTCTTCAGCAAATACTTTGAAGAAAAGCTAGAAAAAGATATTTAGATGTTGCGGGACAATTCTGAGAAATTTCTTATTTGAAACTTTGAGAAACCCTTCTTCTTGTCATCAGAATCTTAAGAAAATGGCACGTTTTTGGTTTTTTTTTACTATTAGACTGAAAAATGTTTCCTGAAAGTACACAGCCTTTTTTTTCATCTCTCATTCACATAAACAAAGACGTCGGAATAATATTAGAAGCTGCTGAGTTTCTGAAAAATTGTAGCCCGCAAAAAAAAACTCTGAGAACTCTTGAAAAACTACAAAAGTCTTGCGAGCAATGATAAACAAGTACGTTTTCCGATGAGTTGTAAACTACAAAAAATAAGAAAAAAAGATGTGTCCTTCAAAAGTGCAAGCTTTTTTCTTCTTTATTGTCATCGAAAACGTGACTGATCAGTAGCTTCTGATATTTGCCGTATTTTTCAATAAGTTCGTAAAGCTTTCCTCCTGCAAACTTAAAACAAACTCACGAGTTGTAGAAGATTCGTTGGTGATTTTGAGTTGCCGTTCGATTTGGTCGAGCGCCCTCCGTTTGGTGTTCAGCGCACAAAGAGAACACCTTGAAAAAAAAATATCAATACGATTTTCAAAGAAAAATAAATGAAGTAAGTGTATCTTCACTATCTATAGTGTAGGTATCTATAAAAACTTCATTAAAAAGATTGAAACAACTTAAGAAGTTCTCAGTCGGTGTGAGATTATTCTCATTTGAAAAAAAGTCAAAAAAGATGAATTGAATTGAATTGAATATGACTGATCGATTGAAAGTAAGAGAAAGAAAGATCGAAGCTTCCACTTGAACCAAGACACGCTAAAATGAGTGATAAAAAACAAGAAAGATTCAAACAAAAATGTTGATAGTGTTAGTTTAATCTTACAAAGAGATGAGAAACACCGAGAAAGACAAATTTCCCTCAAATAACACCAGATCTCAATTTCCTTGTTTTTTTCTTATAACTTATAAATCACATTCAAATCTGATTATTATTTTTTTCTTAATTTCTGTTATTCAAACAAACTGTATCGACTTTTATTCATCGTCCGTATAATTTTAATTATCACAGATCAAGAACGGTAAGAGAATAATTTATTGACAGATCAGCGTGATCTTTAACAAGATCACTTGGATCGAAAAATGTCTTATTGAAGTTAAAAAAAGAAAGAAAATCCCCTATTAAAGTTAACATCGCTTGCGTCTTGGAGGTACACATACGGAAAATCGGTTTTAAAAAACTCACGGACAGGTCCGGTATGGACATTTTTGTTTGTGGCCTTTTTTGGGCTGGTTGAAGATGCCGTGGTTGGCGCAGAGCTGACACATGTACTGCTCCTTGGGCATACTGTGGAGCCGGCGGATCGCCAAAAGGGCATTTCCAGTGCAGGGCAGCCGAGTCGCAGGAGGCGGGCCACCGTGTCGCGCCAATCGCTTCGTGGGCGGCGCCATTTCTTCAGAGGTGGTCCAGGTAATCCGAGTGGAGCCATTCTTTTGAGAAGTTGAATAGACTCCATCTTAAGTAGAAGGAAAATTGAAGGTAAACTGACTATTGGAGTACTTCAGAGTAATTCACTATCATGTCCACCCGAAACTTTGAATCTTGTATTTTTTATCCTTTAGTATCTAGTACTTTATAAATCTTGATAATAATTTGATTTTGACGTTCACTACGGCTCTTGCAGCTACAAAGTGTAGAGTTTTGAACTCGGACATTTTTGGAATTATTTCATCGTTTTCCGATTGTATACACGTTTGTGGCGGAATATTGATGTTGGAATTCTAAAGTAATCAATTTGGAAAAAAAAAATGTAAATTTTGCTCATTAAGGCGAACATTCATTTACTAGTAAGAATATGATTCTTTAGAAAATGACCATTATTCGTCCATTGCATTCCCAAATAACTCAGTTTGCTTTTCAACTAGGTCGTGTACAGCTTGGAAAACGAAACTTATAAGGGGAGCATCCTAAAACCTTTGGAAAGCTGCGAGGAACTTATCATTGGAAAGAAAGCTTCTTTCTGGGCACTGGTTTTGTCGAGAAGTCGATTAGTAAAAATAAGAACGGTGGCACGCCCTGCGTTTCCAAGCAAACTTCAATTTATTTGTCAGTCATTATTTAAAAAGCCACAAAATGAAAAGAACGAAAGTGATCAATTTTGGTTGATCTATCAAAAACGACATTCCTTTGAAATGTCAAAAAGAAAGTTTTAAGTTTTTGAAAAATGTCATTCTTTTCAAATGGTCATTTTGAGAACTCTAGTTCTTTTCTATACGATAATTTTCCTCAGCAAAGTTCAATTATTAGTCATTCTGGTTTTTTATTTTTCAACTTCTCGCACTTATTTGTTTTTTTTCCATGAACTCGAGTTTTTGCCTAAAGCCGCGTCGCGTACGCAACGCGTCATCCTTGTCAATCTGCTCATCCCACCTTTCAGGTCGGCAAATGTTGACTATAAGAAAGTCCCTCGAGATTTCTGAACAATTGTTCCCTCCACTTTTGACTTGAGACAGTAAAACTGAGAACGAGCGCTTTATTGTTTTTTTTTTCAGAAGTATTTCGAAGTTTTAAAGCGTTTTTTAGTTTGAAAAAGGTTTTAAGATACGTTTCTCTAGACTTGAAGAACAACAATAAAGGTAAGATTATTTGACAAATGTCTCAAAAATATATCGATTACGACATCTTCAAGCAGCCTGAAAAAAAGGCCTCAGTGTCATGATCTTAATAATCAGAAGTTCTGAATGGCAAGTAATCTACAAAAAAAATTTTTTAAATCAGCCTCACTTCGAGAATGTACAATAAGATCACGGACTGGTACCATTCAAGATATTTTTTCTCTTGTGAACAATTCCCGAAGCAGTCATAATTCAGTCACGCCGTGAGCTCAATCCAATTGACAGAGATTTCCTACGCCAATTGGGCTCTGAACATTTTGTGGAGAGGGGAAAATGATGAAGAAGGAACGGCAGGCTCGGCGATAAATTCAAAAACAATCCGCCATAACTCAGAGGCGGCGAATGGCTGTTCGGCTCAGCCGCGGATAACATCGCTTCGTTTTTTGCTTCCCCAATCGTTTGCTCATCACTCGGATAGTTTAGATCGTTTGAGTGGAGTTTCGCTTCAAACCAAACAGCTGAAAAAGATAAAGTAGTGAACGATAGAAAACTTTCATGCTTGTCGAAGAATTTTAGTACGAAGAAAAGATCCCTGAATCAGTGGAATTATGTGGAGTTTTTTTCAACAAACGGAAACATCTAAAAGAAAAAATAACACTGAGCATTGTAAAATGAAGCGTTTCATAGCCTGTCCTGAGTGCAGTGAAAATGAATTTCAAACAGGATATTGTTGCAATTTCTGTACAGCAGATATTTTTTAAACTTCAAAAAAACTGCTTGAAAAAGCACAAAAATTTTGAAATGGGCACTAACAGGGAATACTTCGTCGAATATTTCTTTTTTTTTTACTCTCAAGCGTCAGTTAATTTTTTTCTCTTCAATCTAAAACGAGAAGGAAAAAAAAAACGCCAATAAACTTTATTCAAATTTTTCTGTCAGTTGAATTTTAAGTTTATATGAGATTTTATTCAATAAAGAAAAAAATGCAATAAAAAAATTATTTGGTACCGAACCATTCACACCTTCAAATATTAATGTAGTTCAAAAAGGAACAAATTGCAAAAACGTTATGGAGGTATGGGGAATTGAACCCCAGCCCTCTCCCATGCTAAGGGAGCGCTCTACCACTGAGCTATACCCCCAGCTGACATCAGCCGCGCAGTCTCGGGTCACACTAACGCGAAGGAAAGATGCAGCAGGTGTTCGAAAAAGTTGCAATATCAAAAAATATATTTCTGGAAACGATGATTTCAGCTCAATGGAACAAAAAAAGCATTGGAAAAACTTCTGAAAACCAAAGAAAAAAAAAGCCAAAAATTTAATGCTTTTTTTTCAGAGATCCACCATTCGCACCTGGAAAAAAGTGACGGACAGGAAGGTGTGAAACGATTTTCTCGTTGATTTCCTCACTGCAAATGGAACGACGCCGGAGTGAATGGAATGGGCCATTTTGTGGAACGAATTGTCAAGAAGACATTTTGCGAAATCAATTCCGCGGCTGACCTTCGCAGGTTTTCCGGTTATTCTGTTGGTTGAAAAAGGTTCGTGTAACAAGTATAGGGCTTGATCGGATAGGATCCCTTTTTTTTTACGAATTAGAAAAAAACCGCGAAGAAAAAATTCTTTTTTTAAAGAAGTTTTCTCAAAAAAATGTTTTTTTAGTCGCGTAAGAATGAAAAACATTTTCCAAAAAAACTCAAGTTGAAAAGGAAGATTTTCAAGTTAAAAAAAGACGATCTTCTAAAGTTGAAAGGTCCAACTTAAGGTTAAGTATACAGGCAAGTAGATAAAAAAATACGAAAAAAATAAAGCTATTATTAATAAAGAAAGAGACTTCAGCTATAAGATAAAAACTTAAAGTCTCTCAGACTTGCCAAACATAAAATTCAAAGTTCGAAAACTTTTTTGCAGAAATATGCACCTGCTTTGAGGGGAACCTTTTTCAATTTTTCATCACTTTCGATTCCTGTTAGCTTTCCCCGGCTTAGAAAAACAGTGGGTTTCCGTTTTCCTCCATTCATAAAACGTCGTTTTTTTTGAAAGTTCTCATCAGAAATTACAATAAAAAAAGAACCTAAGGCTATTTCGGGGCGAATGCAAAAGCAATCAGGTCGAGTATGCGACGAAAACTTGTTTTTATTTTCTCCCTGCTTCACAGGCGCCGAGTGTTCTTCTGAAAAACCGCTGCTCCAACTTTCAGCGCGAATTCGAAGATCTTCTGATTCTACGCAACTGTTCTTCAAGGTTCGTTCATTTTTAAATATTGAAATGAGAAAGAAAACCTCAAAAATTTTTCTCTGCGAATTTTTTTGTAAATCGTGCCAAAATCTGTTTCGGGGATACTTAAAAAATCCACGAGTTTAGCGATGAGCTGACCTTGGCTCTAAGCTCGAATTTCGTAAGCAAATCAAAAACGGAAACATTGAAAAAAATCATTTTGATCTTCGGGAAAAAAATTCCGCGAAATGCGGTACCAAAGTGCGTTAAATGAAAATATTTCTTGTTCATAAATTTTTTTAGTTTTCTTTTTCCGATCAAAAAGAATGAAAAAAATTCTGGCCACTGTGAAATTCTGAAATTATGATCTTATAAAGTTATCACAACTGGCTCTTCATTTTTTCTTCAATTAACAAAAAAGCATAGAATGTCACATAAAGGTCTTGCGGGGAAGAGCTTTCCGAATGTTGTTTGAGGCGAATTGAGGTTTTTGGGTCGTCAAAAAACTTGGCAAACAATTTAATAGCATACCCGAAAAAAATGGCTGCATTTTTTTAACTCCTAAAAAGATCAAAAGTTGGATGTTAATTGATAAGTTTCAGAAGATGTTAATTGATAAACAATTATCATCTTCTGAAACTTCTTCGAAAAACTGGGGTCAAAAAAAACCGAGTGAAATGAGGGAAAACGCGTTCGAGCGTGGGTATGACGTTCAAATGGGTACCAAGGGAGAAGCTGGCAGGTTTCCAGCTCAGAAGAACCCTTTTTCCGTTTTGTTTTCAAAAAAATTCATTTCAATTGGCATTAGCCGTTTTGAGACCGGAATCATTTGATTCTCTCCGGAATTTTTTCTCCGCGCATGGAATGATTAATTCGTGTGAGAAATTTCCCTGTTTCTTTTGCTTTTCCGCTTTTTTTCATTAAATAAAGTCTTGAGTTTTCATGAATGTTTTGCTAAGAAAAAATGCGCCTGAGAAGGTAGGATGATGGTTTTGGGGGATTAGAAAAATAACTTCCCGAGACTCATACGTATTTATCGCTGGAGCTATTTTTCGCACAAACTTTTTTCAAGACTATATTTATTTTGACTACATTCTTCTTTGACGTCGCATATTCCCTCCGTTCCTTTGCTTCTTCGTTATTTCCAACTAATTCGAATCACGTTCTTCTTTTTTTTTTTCCTCAGCACCAAGTTATGCTGCGAAGGCAGCTGCACATTTTGCAACAGCTTATATCGAGTGATCCTGGGTCCTTTACTGAAATTAAAATACGTGTACATTAAAATTTCTGAAAATGTATTTTTTTCTGTTTGAAAAAAGACATATAGTCTGTTCAGATTTTGAATGTCAACCAGCTAACTCCGCCCCTGCTGAGACGGTACCTTTTCGCGTCGATGTTTCATCGCGCGGGACTAATTTTGATCTTTTTCGATCTAAAAGATAGAAAAAGAGGTCAAAAAAGCAGCCTTATTAAAGGGCCATTGGCAGATGTAGATAAAACATTGACGCGAAAGATATTGTAGCCTTGGGGGTGGAGTTAGCTGCTTGACATTTAAAATCTGAACAGACTATATCTTGATTTCGAACGTAACTGTCGAGATTTTCTTTCTTGAAATCTTTTTTTTTCTACCGCGACGTGACCTCGACGCTTCTCGAAGCCATTCCAAGTTCGAATAAGAAGCTAGAAGTTGCAGCGTAAAAAGTTGACCAGCGAAAGTTGAGCGCCAAACATATGATTTATCTTTTTTATTTGCAAAAAGTTCGCTAATGAATGTTCCGTAAGAATAGATCTTAATTTGGGAGAAAAACGTCATTTATGAATAATTCTCTCGAGAAATAAGGAAAAATAATCGAAAATTCAACTTGCAAATTTTCAAATTTTTACTAATTTGGTTGTTTTTTGGTTATTATATCGCAAACGATGTTTGTAATTCAATATGCGAACACTTTACCGGTGGGATCAAGTGCTCTTCATTTTCTAAGACTCTTGAAAGCGTCAAACGAACTTATTTTCCATTAATTGTGCATTTTCAGAATGACCTCTTCCGGTTCCCAGATATTTTTTTTTGAAAAAAAAAATGAATTGAACCGTTTTGAATTTTATCGCAAGACTTCTATCGAAAATAGTACGTTAGGGCGTGGCCTGAAAGAGCTCAAAAAACTAGAGCTCCATAGTTTTTGGCTTCAAAAAGCCTTTTTTCAGCTATTTTCCAAATCAATATGAAATAGAAAATATACTTGCCCTTTTTTTTTTCATAACTGTTCAACATTTTTCTGAGCTGACAATCTTATTTTTCAGGTTTCGTAGTGCAGATCGAGTTAAAAATCTCCTCAAATGGCTTGAAGCGTTGCGGTCGCCCTGCGCTTTAGCAATTGAAAAGAGATTTTTCAAGTTTCCACTTAACAAAACTGTGGGTATTACAAGATGGGAACGAGCGCAAGTAGTTTGTTGTCGGACGCGAGAGAAATAATTATCTGAATGTTTGTGTCAGATCAAGATAGCAAGCCTCGAGCCGTTCTCTGACATCGGAGCACTCTTTGTGAGTTTTCCCCGGGAAGTTAACCACAAGGAAAATCACGAACAAGCTGAGAAAAATTAATAAAACATGCCGTTCTCCAATTAAATCTCGAGGAAAACGTCGAAGAGGAAATCGTCCTTCTTGCTTATTTAAATAGATTTCTCGCGGCTCCTAGCTTCCCTACGGCATTTTAATCTCTTCTTTTCTCACATAGTCTTGCTCTTCACATTCCTTACGAATAATGAACTTTCTTAAAATTCATTTTTCGTTCCTATAAATAATCAGGATCTTCATCTGGTACATCAAAGAGTATTCTGGCCGATTTTCAAGAAATTCCCAACCGCAAAGTAAAAAGACCTTCCTTGTAAGGAATTACTAGAAATATTTTTGTTTTTGTGTTATGGAAACTTTTGTTGATCATTAAGACCGTAGGCAGAAAGGAGAGCGAAGTGAGAATATCACAGAGAAACAAATGTTTGAGAATCCAATTAGGCTTCGATTTCAATGCCGCATAGAGGTTTTCAATAGGGTTTGGAGCTAATTACTTGGAAGGTCTCTAGAAAATCGACTCATTAGTGATTGTTCTTTTTCATTCAGATGCCCCCCCACGTAAAGATTTATTTTTTTATTGGTTAGTAAGGCTTCTGCATACTTTTCGTTTACATAGAAAGTTTTTTCCTTTTTTGTTAGATTTTGTTTTGATATTGCAAAGACAGATTTCTAGATCAATATCCGGTCAAAAATTGATTTTCAAAAAGTCAAAAGTCGGGGGGAAAGAGCCCTTGGAACCCGTTTTCGTTTTGTTTGATTTTCAAAGTTTTGAGAGATAGATGACAATTATATTAATTCAACAAGGAAACGTTTTAAAAAAATTATTTCTTGTTTACAATTTTCGGGAGTTTTAAAGGTTTTAAAAATTTTTTTGTAATTATCTTCTGTAAAGATAAGGGCATGTTAATTCAATTTTGGGTGAATTTAATCCCAAAACATATCTCATGTCCAAATTCGATTTCTAAACATTTTTTTCGTCGTTACCGGTTCTGAAAAATTTGTTCTTTGAGGTGCTAAGTTGCTCTATTCACTAAAAAATTTCATTTTTTTCACCTTTTCACCAAGTTCTATGCTTCAGAACGTCTGGCCAAACTTTGGAAAGTGCAGCTTTTTTGCAGCCATTTTGAAGTATGGGATTCGAAAAGTCAGCGTTTGAGAAGTTTTCTCTTGACCAAATTTCATTTCTTAGTTGAAATATCATGATTTTTCTTAACATTTTTTGTTAAAAATTTTGCGTTGAACTTTTTTTCAAAAAAACACTGTTCTCAAAGTTTTTTTGTGAAATTATTTTTCACCCACGATGGTTGGAAAAAGTTCAGCTTTTTTTGAACTAAAAAAATTTGAAAACGAATCTTCGGTAAATCTAAAGACTTACTAACTGAAGGTTCAGCTTTTCTAAATTCTAAATTCTCCAGAATCAAATTGATGAATGAAGTAGGAAGAAGACTTCTTGGTATTTGATCATGATAAATTTGACATTTGAATATTAAAATTAGATTTTCTACTGATCCTGAAACATTCATAAGAATTCTTTTCAACTGATTTTTTAAAATGTTCATTCCCCTTTAACCTACGCACCTTTAATAAGGCACCAAAATTCAATCTCTCAGCTATTTTCTCAGTCTCCAAATCTTGAACTTTTCGTCACAATCTCACGCGCGCCCAAAGGTTCCCCGAAGGAGAGGCCCCTCAGCCGTTTCACACTTTTTTTCTTCTTCCTTGGCTCCGAAAAAAACAAGAAATAACCGCTCTACTTGGCTTTTCTCCGTGCACACTCACCACACACATGGCGATTATTATCACACGCTTATCAGACGCTTCTCTGCGCCCTCTTCATCTCTCGTCGTCTCCGAGCCAAGCCGAGCCCAAGCCGAGCTCAAGCCAGAGCCGAGAGCCTCAGATGCTCTCCTACCGGCTGAAGCGCACCTGCGCCTCCCAGGTGAGAAACAAGCAACGATTGTCCCAACTCGCCCGTTCTGAGCATCCTTACCATTGTCCTCACCATGCCGACGTGAGTTACCTTTTTTGTAGTTTTGCTACGAAATCTTTGTTTCTTGGATGGCCACAGTAGGATGGCTGTTCTGAAGTTTGTATCATTGAAGACGTAAACAGAAAATAATTTTTTTTGGATTCGGAGTACAATTTCTGAGCTTCTTCTGATCCGTTCTCTACACTGGTTGCTTGATTCACAGTAGGATCATTATCAAGTATCTCTAAATTCTAAACGCCCAAAGTTAGGAACTTTTAAAAGGAAGTTCGTAACTTCAAGTTTTTTTCTTGTATCTCGATTTTTTACAAAAACTTTTTCGATGATTTTTTAAAAATTTTTTTAAGACAGAGCTTTTTTTCGCAGCTTGATATCTCTCTTCTCGTGTTGATTATTCTGATTAAACTAACCTTTTTTTATACTAATTACAAGTCTCATGGAGATTAATTTCGTCCAATTTATCAGCCCAAAGAGGAAGTTGCACTTTTTGAGATAAAAAAATATAATA